TATATATATATATATATATGCACCAGAAATATCACGATAAGACCGAGAATGTAACAAGTTTTATTGTCCTGTATACTTAAAAAGTGGTGTTTCTTATGTTGCCTCATCAGGCTCCCATTAGAAACACATAACCCTCACCGTAGCCTAGGGTAAACAGACGATCAAGCTAAACTACTTTCAGAAGACCACATGGGCATTCTGGTTAGTGCGGTAGAAGCATTGTATGCATCATCCATTTATTGCGAAATCTGGATCGAATGCAAATAACATTACTGTCTTGTTTTTGGCTTAGTTATGTGGTGTAAAGTTTTGTAAACCAAAAACTACCTCTTGGATAGCTTCGAGACTGGAAGACGCAAGATATTATGTACCATGATTTTTTCCTGCTACAAAGTGGAATTTCTGTTTTTCAAAGCGCTCTTTGCGAGAACAGGTGAGCACAAAACAAATCAACCTGTCGCTTTCTTTCTTACATTGGAACGTTTCATTTAGTTAGACTCAATCTTTCTTATTCAGCTATATGAAGAGAAATTGGCAGAATCTAACACTGAGAAAGAAAATATGGAGAATTCTCTCAAAAGGAAGATAAAAACACTGCAAACTTCACTAGACGAACTCGCAGGGGAAAATCTCGGTTACAAGGCCGCTTTGGATATCGCGACTACACAAGTTAAAGAACATAAATGCCCAAACGTGAACCATATTGTCGAAGAAAACAATCACTTGAAATTTCAACTTGAGGAACTTGAGCAACGCAGTAAGAGCCTTGAGGGAAAATACGAAGGTACATTAAATTTGGTTGATCAGAAAGGACTGTTTTTTAAAGTAATCTTTAAAACCAGGAAGTATCACGCGGAGTTGTAGTTTGACGTGGTCTTAACAGTGTTAAATTAGTGAGCAAGCAGGGTAGTTTTAAAGACTTTACACATAAGTACAATGTATTCCTTAAGCCCGACGGGTTATGAAGCAACTGGATTCGTTAGTAACACGCAAATATTGGACAAGCATAATTCAGTGGTTGGCAGGATCCCTGGAAGGTTGAGTTGGTTGGATTTCATTACGTCTGAAATGGTCTCTTGTGCGTTCACTTGCCCATTCAAGGCTTGGTGAGTGCTGTCAGGTTCACCGATCCTTAAACATCGTGGTAGATAGATATTTCGGGTTGCTGCGAGCCAATTTGAAGTTGGTCCCCCTGATTAGTGAAAACAGTTCATCTGAGTTTGTCCAAAGGTCTGTCCGAGGAAACTCTATGAAAGGAAACAACTCATACTTCTTTCAGAAATTCACTTACGGGATTCTGTTTCTCACAACAATGTCCCTTAAGTAGATTTTGGTCATTATGATGCCAGCATAAGTCAAGATTATTTAAAACGATACTTTTTGTGCATACTAAATAGTATCCACATTTCGATGTTTAGTGAAGTACAGAGAAAAATCCACTTAATACTCCGGCCCCAGTTAAGCTCCCCTAGGAACTCTCAACATACACAGAACAACGCAAACACAATAACACAAACAAAACGAACGATACACAAGGGGAAAATTCCATCAAAAACCGGAAAAGAAAGGAGCAAACTCATCTGTGTGTTAGCCATACAAACTAACCAAGACACGATAACTTTCAATTGGCATCCGACGATTAAATCAGCTAGTTGTAAGAAGTCTCATTGACTGATTCTGCACTTTAGTGAGCTTGTTAGCCTGATCATTTGGCCTGACGAAACTTTTGTTTCAAGAGCGAAACTGTCTACCAAACCCGTTTGAATTCATGTTTTCTTCTCACCTTCAACGAATCCTGTTTCAACAATATTTTTCACCGTCTTCCTATTCTTAGTAATTTTCAACCTTCCAACCATCTTTTATGTGTTTTCTGAAGCGGATAAAAAGGAATTAGTTTCAAAACACGAGAGACTTGTCAAGAGTCTGTCAGATGAACTGGATCAGTCACGAAAGGACGTTGCGAAAAAGGAAGCAATCATCGTGCTCCTCAGAGAGGACCTAACACTAACTAATGATAAATTAAAGATTTTGACCGAGAAACGTGAGGAAACTAACGAAACGACTATGCAGGAGTTTAGAAAGTCCGTCGAGTTTGCGGCAAACCAAAGGTGGCAAGCGCTGTTGGAGGCTGAAAGACGTAATCACGAAAGAATCCTGGGAGACATGAAGGCAATATTTGGAAGGGTCCAAAATTCATCCAATCTTGAAATAACAAATCTGAAGGCTCTGCTCAATGAAGTGAGTAATATTTAGCTGCCCGTACTTTCGTTGAAAAATAACCTCTATACGTTGCTTGGTTAAACACATCGCTGCAGAGCGAGTTGGGCCTGTCTGAGATTATTTTGAACACACTATTTATTTGACAACACCACTCACTGATCTTTTTATCAGGTATTTGCTTCGTGAACAAGGGGTTTGAAGTTGATGAAGTTGGTCTTGTGTTTTGAAACCATGACAAATTACGTACAGATAATCTGCATTAAACAAACAATCTATGAACCAAATGAACACGCGCCGGCTGATACGACAGATCTAAAAGGCAATTATGATAACAGACAACAGTGCCTAACTCTAAGCTGAGGATTTTTCGGCAAGACTTTTTTTCTAAGTAAGAATTATTGAATCCTGGTCGATCGCCTGTGGGATCCATGCTACAGCGTTTGTTGTCCAGGTATGAGTTAACTGACATTCGCTGGTTATGCGCCTTTACTCCCATGCTATAAAACCCACTCTTTATTTCCTCATCAATCATCATCCATTTTTGCATCCTAACAGTTTACATGATGAACATCAATCGACGGTGCTATGAAATTTTGCATCCTATTGGGTATCAAACTTGATTCCTTACCTTGGACGAGGTGTGCTGTTTTGAGATTGTTGTACTACGAAAGAATTACATGGCTCATTTACTGGTTTACCCAGATAAATAGCTTATGTGAAGCCCGCACATTTTTTAAAACTGACTGACATTGAGACACTTGGACGATGGCCGGCGCAACGGGTTGGTCCGTCATGCTGTAGAGTGTTCCGGAAATCAAAACCATGAAAAAAATCTGAAATGAGTTTCAACTTACATCAGAGACTCTTGAGCGTAATTCAATATTTCAATAAAGTTTTAAACAACCTAGATCTATTTGTATCTTTCACGTGAAATAGTAACGTAACCTCCAGCTTTCTAGCAGCTGAAACGGTCTGTCAGATAAGACTTCCCCTGTTCTCGATTGTTTTGTGAGTTCGTTTAACCAACATCGATGGAAGGTCCAAAGTTGTGATTGATGAGAACTGCAAGTTTACGGTTTTATTTGACAGGAAAAAGAAAATGTTGTCCGGTTGGAAGAAAAATACCGGAAACAACTTCAGGACACTTCAAATGCATTACTGACGTTGACTGAAGAGAAGAGGGTATTGGAAGAGCGCGCTGATAATTCTAAAAGACGAGAGGTGGGTTTATCCGGGAGTCCAGCCATATAAACTATAATATTTTGCTGTTTGGGCAAAAACAATTTGAGATACAACTTTGAAACGTACGTGGTTGATTCTGAAGGTGATTTCACGTGTTCTGTGCCAGTTGAAACCCATCAGGTGGATGCGGCAAATTAGGTTCACATTTCTCAATGTTTATCGCACTACCAAGTGATTCCGGCTTGCAAATATTTAGATTATGCTTGAGGATACTTTAAAAGTTGGCGATAGTTCATATTAGTTCATATTGTTTACCAGTGGTCATGTTAATGATGCATTTTGACGCATGTGCTAGAAGTAGCGCAGTCGTTAGAGAGCGAACTTACTGAGCGAAACGTCCATGGTACAAATCCAACTACAAAAGGTTGGATAACATAAGGTACCTGTTTTTTGTTTTTATTTTGCAGGAAATGGCACAACATGGGTGCTATAGAAAATTGGCAGACTTCTACACGCTATAATGTGCAAAAAATTGGGTCGGAAAATTTTTTGGTCGAGTGTTCTTGCGTGAACACCTCGGATATCTGTTATAGACTGCGCTGTGCTGCTTTCGTTTGACACTTCGGTACGGCAATGAAGAGCTAATCTATAATACTAATGCTGCTGTCACTGGCTGCTGCTGCTGCTGATGATGATGATAATGATGATGATGGAAACACTAACGAAGATCATAGTGATACATGTAAACATGCTGAGACCAATGCTTACGAACCAAGGGAAGAACAATTTCATCCTTTTTGAGAATTACTACTAGCAACAGGTTCACCTCATTATGAAAATGTGACAGATTGTTTTGTCACTACTTCCGAGTAACCTGTGCCAAATTAGCAGTTTCGTGATTTTAACAACCGATGATGGTACACTAACTAATTTCCGTTATTTATTATTATTATTATTACTATTATTATAATGTAACCATGATGCAATGAAATATACTAGTAACCTGATTTTACCCATATATTCAAATAGCTCACTCTTTTTCTACACGATTGGAGAATTTTCAACCAAAGAAAGTTAGTTCCTAGGATCCGAACGCAGTGATGCTTTTGGTCGGATAAAAATTACTGACGAAAAGGAAATGAATACATTTGATCCCAAATCTTGGTGTCACAACTTCCGGCTATGCGTGGTTGTAAAAGCCGTGCCTTATAGTTTGGCAGTTGAAATGCGTCTTCTAAGATTTAAAGCAAAATCTTTCAGCTGGAAAAGACGTTTATAAGAAATGACAAATAATAATAATATAATGATAAGGAAATATTTATTTTTAATAATTTACTACTCATGAGGCTGCTGAAAACTCTCTGACAGCCCATGACCGGTCTCACCCTTCTTTGGGTTCATCAAGCAGACGTAGTCCCCGAGTACTCATCAACCTTATGCTGTAATTTAACCCAGGTTGCACGAAATTAGCAAACTACACAAATTTTCAAACAGTTCGGTATAGCAGAAGACTCAAAGGAGAGATTCAGCTGGGTCCCTGGTGATTTTCCTGAAAAACCAAATTGGTTTTCAAATGAGGGCAGTTCGCTATTTGTGATGATGTTCGTATAAAAAATTCTGCCCGCATGAAACGCATTATTCTACACGCATATCAATTAGTTCTAACAGTTATTTTTTTCTTTAGTTGCGTATAGGTATATCATAAAAATTTTGTGCGTGAACTTGTAAAATCTTTGCAGTGACACTTCTCAAGGAAAATCGTCGAATTCGAAACTGAGGTTGGTCTTAGGTCCTGGAGAATATCCTGAGGCTTTCGTATGAAGTCATCAGAGGCTCTTTTGGATTATACAATACTTTTCGATCATTGAGAAGCTCCAAGCATGGACAGCGATTCTTTCCTTATTACGCAGTGATATCTTGACAGAGGCATACCCGGTAGGTATGCCTACGCCACCAAAAACGAATAAACTGGGTTCCGGCGCTAAACATTTACATAAGGGTGTGTTGAAAGCTAACATCATTAAATGTGTGTAACTTGCGCAAAGGGTCTTATTGACGTCCTGCTTCTTGAATCAAAATCCAGTGTAATCTTTGCCGTAATGTAACATTTACAAGGTTAATACAGTGAAAGTATTTCAGACTGCTTTACCAAAAAATTAATGATTGGACATTCTTAAAATCGAAATCACTCGATCGACTCTTCGAACAGCTTCAAAGCGAAGCCAAAGAGAAAATGCTACAAAAGGAGCGAAATGATTTTAGAAGGAAACTTCAGTCTGCTGAAGAACAACTGTGCACACTGAAAAGTAAGTGCTGCAATATGAAGTGCTGTACGCAAGCTACCTTCAGATTTACGCATTTAGCCTGCATTTACCTTCAGAAAGCACTAACTTTTGTGAGCATTCGCGGTAAAATGATTTTAAGCCGTATTAAGTTTTGTCCAAGTTGTGAATGGTGCATTTTATGTACAGTGATCATCAGTTTCCTACAAGTTTTCCGTCACTTAAATTTTCCTTCCTTAAAACCCGGTCTGCCCGAGTCTATACATGTCTTACGGAGTTAGTATCATACTGATGCTCCAGTCTTCAAGTAATGGGTTTTATCTTGGACTAAGTTGACCAAAACCTTAGTTCAAACAGTGGTCAAAGAAGTGTAACTTTTGTGTGAGTCGCGTAACGAGTCGCAGGAGACCATACCTGGTGAGTTCAAATATGCTATGCCCATGTATCCTTTAGAATTGAAAATACCGTAAACTATCCGCTTATTCTGATGCCATTTAGGTTTTTGTTTACGCATGCACGAAAATATTAGGTACCTGTACCGTTACGAACTATCCTGCGGGTTGAATGTGGCTCATTTCAACTTGCTACATGCAGAGAATCAGTGGTTTTTAATGCGTCATAGCACCAGTACTAGATGTCATATCTTCATGTCCTTTTCCCGGGTACAAGCGCGCTCAGCTCGATGAACGTCACATAGCTGTAATTAGTCTTGCTGAAATAAGCCTTATTTTTAGTGTGATGCCTAGTTTTCTAAATTTTTGGAATTTCTTCGGTAATCAGTATGCCTAGGTGCCACAGAAATCCGAATTGGCGCAAAAGTCTCTGGGAGAGACGTACAAACAAATCAACATGTTCTCCCTTGGAGCGTTGATATGGGACGACTGAAAAAATCTGTTACCAACTAAAAGACAATGTAATTTTCATTTCAATTTTTCTCTCATTAATTCGTATTGTAGTAGTTTTTGAACAACTTCAGTATACTAAGTTGTTGAAGTTTACAAGACTTATGGAAACTCGCATGTGCTTTATTGAAAATTATTCGGCGTTTTGTTGTCGGTTTGCCTTATTATGTCCGCCTGAACATGTCATATCAGAAGGTACTGATTACACTTCACAATGTGTTGGATAGCTTTTATTCAAGTATTTTGTGCGCTGTACATATTGTTATTGTACAATGCACCTGTTCACTGCACCTGAGTGACGGCAGTGTCATAATATCGAATGGCACCAACTTGCAAAAGATACTCACATAATGTCTCACAACTATCCAGAAAATTCTCATGAAGATAATCGCTTCTCTGGTGTACAACTTCATTTTAGATTAGAAATTTTGCAATATCACGTCCTCCTTACTGCGCTGTATGACACAAGCTTTACACACCTCTTCAGGAACCACGTTTTGGAGTTCCCGGCCCCGTGCTTGCAAACTAACGGTGCGACAAAATTTGATTTTTAACCTGAACAATGACTTATTCCCACCGGGTATCCGAAGTCATTATGAATATCTTTTAAAACCAATAAATGGCACCTGCCATGGTAAGCAAGCGACAGACAAGACCAAAGCCATGCAAATAGCAACGACAGAGTTAACCTCATTTGTGTCCGTTTTAGGTACGCATTTATCTGGTGCTAATCTGTTCCTGCAATTGACGTTGACACTAGAGATCAGCTGGATTTACAAGAATAAGCTAGCTGTTACTTGTCAACAAGACATATCGGTGCTGAAATCGCATTACGGTCTACATCGTTCAGAACCCTTGTTTTATTTTTTGTGGGATGTGTGGCATTCGTATTCATGGTCTATCTTGTATGGGACCGTATTTAATCAGAGGAAGTTGCGGATTCTCTAGGGAAAGTGACCTCTTCTGAGATTCGATAACCTGAAAGCATCCGGCATTTCCATTTTCGAGTCAAATTATTTCAATGAGGACGTGTAATCAATTTTGTTTTTTGTTCGTGTAATATTACGTACCTTTTATCGAACCTGAGTTGCTTCACAAGAAGGAGAGAAACGTATCGCCCTGCACAATACTAACACACCGTAATGTTTAGATAAATTTGTTTTCAAAATGTTAATGTCGACTATGGTGCAAACAGATGTTGAACTTTGACTTTCGTTTGTGGTATCTACTTGTAGAAAAATGCAATGTTAATGGAGTTTTTATCGCAGTAAACTATTGCACGAGATGTTATGCCTATGGCCTCCAAATATCTTAATTAGAGGTTATGGGAATAACTGTACGAAGGCGGATTTGTTGATTTGATCGTGGAACGCTGTGAAATTTCTGCCTTGTTTTTACCGTGTAAATAATACATTTGAACAAGTTATGTATATAATATGTATCGTCATTCTTCTAGCTGACATCTCGATCTTTGTGACGGTCTTTTTTGCCTCTGATACATGGTAGTTAATTCGGATTCAGTGAGTAGTGGACGTAACATAAAGAGACAGTGTAGTTTCTTAGTTATGGATGACTTGCTCAATTGGGGCGAAAATAATTTCGAGAATGGGTAGATATACCGGAGAAAATCATTCGTTCAAAAGTTATCGGAAGTTGTGTTCACTTTGGTTTCTAAGTCCGTGTAGGCGGAAAACAAGTTGAAATAAAGGGGGCTGCCTATCTTAGGTGCTTTACTTGGGGAGCCAGTTAACACCGGATTACCTGAAGTCATTTGCATCAGTGGAGTATAGTGATGATACTCCCCGCCTAGGTATAACCAAAGAATATCGCCCGACAGCTACCCGTGTCCAAATGGTATGATGTCAATAACTGAAACGGGGAAGCGTCCTCGAATCCCCTAAACTACCCACAATATGAGTTCTGCTGACTATTTATAAGGTGAAGTAACCATTTGGTAAACATCGAGGACCACTTCCCAGTTGTCCAGAGATGTTGCATTTACCATGGCACTAGCGCGCCGCTGACTGTTCAAAATCTCGTCATATAGTTTGTAAGCTGCGGTCAGTAAAACTGAACGAGTCAAAAACCACCTGTTACTGGTGAAGGACCACTCGGGTGGAGCATGCAACATAAAGGAAACCGAACTACTGCCTCAGATTCCAGTCTCGGCAGAAGGCACCATTTAAGCATGACATACAAAGCAGTACAGCAATGAAGTGAGCGGTGGTCAGCACTCTTACTTGATATCTTATGACTCAATCGAAGGCTCACGCCGTCAATTAGGCTGCTACCTAACTCAAGGGAATCAGTGAGGTGATACTAGCCTGCAATATGAACGAGAAAAAATACCCGTTTTTTCACCAGTTTGGCAAAACACTTAAAAGCTGAATTAGATTGAAGTTTAACCTAGCCTGAAATCTAACGAGCTTTTGAAAACGTTTGTAGAATCAAAGCCATTTCTGGCTGGAATATGAAACTTTCCTTCTCTGGGCGGTTACTTTTCATGATGCCCATTTCACCAGAGCGTCTGCTGCTAATTGTTAACCTTCCCCCCACATAGTAACGTCAGTCTCCGCAGAACCAGGAATGTGACATCACCTTTCGACGACGAGTTTATCTACATCACTTTTGTCTGACTGGTGTTCCTTTCGGCTTGTTGAGATAAGGGATAAAATTGAACAGATCTGTTGCACAGGAAAAAAAGAATTTTCAAGATGGGATGAGGTGATATAAATTCTTAAAAGTTTGTGACCACTCACCAATGAACACCAGTAAGTCCTCAAATTTTACATGCAAACGTACACATTCACAATCAGGATTCGATCCTCTCGGTCGTTTTTATGGGGTCTACTCAAATGGCACCTCACAATTTAATCGACGTTAGCACGTTTTTCCTACTGAAAATGGCTATCATAAAGCAACGAACAATAATCTTTTGAAAAGAACTGATGCAATCTTATCATTCGTGTATATTCCTACTAAAACTTTCTAAAGCAACGGAAGACAATCTTCTCGACTGGAGTGTTATTTTGCATCAAGGCCATCTAAAGAGTGAACACAAGCATTTTTGTGCCACCGCTTTACCAAACAATAGAATCTCTACGATATTTTGTACCATCTTTCTTGTTTCCTTATAAATCAGCTTTAGCTCAAGGAAGAGGAAAAGATAGTTGGTTATGGGTAATACGCTTTTGTGCAGGGCAAAATTTCGAGTCGTACAATTCAGGTTTCCTGAGTTACTCAGGACCTATTTTGTTTGGCCATCCAGTATACATGTAACGCGCACTCACACAGGCTACCTTTTTGAAGAGAATAACAGAACACTATACTTTCCTTGTCAGCCTCGACTAATGCGGTAACATCAGAACCCATCTCATACACTAATCAGGCGTCATGACAAAAAAGCACACGTTGATAACATGGATATCACCACACTTTTTTCTGTCGTTTTCAGAGGAACTAGCTGAGGCGACCCTCTCAGTTGGAGCCCAGAAGATTCAGGCATCAGAAGCCAAGATTATACTTCTTGAAGAGAAGCTAACGAAAGCAGCCGAGGATATGCGGATGAATAACCTCTCACACGAGACCTCGCGCCGTCAACTTGAACTTCGAGTACACTCGCTTTTCAGCGACACTGTCGTGAGTCAAATTTATGGTAGACTGTCATCGTGAACTCATTAGCACCTGACAATAGCTAAAGAACCGCACTGGATCGTACATATGTCCTGAGTGTAGCTGAGACTCGAAAAGTGGTTAGACAAATTCCAGCACTGTTAGGCGGAATTCCACACGGATCCCTCTTATCACTCGCACTCAGGCCGAATGCCGGTTGCCAATGGCGCGTCCAGAACACGTCAGAATTTCCAGAAAGTTATAACCACCCACACTATATATAGGAAGCACTGTGCAACTGTTCCTGACTTCGTTTTGACCGAGAACTAAGCTGAGAAGAATACCGTTGCTACAAGTATACACGTGTTTTGCAAGGGTTTTCTGTTTCATCCTTGGTGAATCCATATGAAAGCAAACCAGTGATAGAAGGGTTTCAGGGCTAAGACTTAAAAAAAATGATTAATTTGATGTTTTTTGTCCACTTCCCACAGCTGTTTGTCAGTTGATCTATGGGTTTCCAAGTGATTTTGATAAGGAGGTTTTGAATATCGCAGCCCTACATGTAATTGGTTGTGATGTCGACTTTTTGGTTCACCAACCGATGATAATCTCTTATCGAGGAATCTGCTTTCCTCAATCCGCTAAGGCTGTTATTGAACTGGGACTTCCCTCTGGGTAGCAGTCAGTGACTTGTGTTTGCTTGCCATTGTGGGCTCTCTGCGTACTTATGACACTTCTATGCGTGGCACATGCGTTGAATGTATATTTCTGCCATTTAATCTCACACCAGACCCAGTATGACGGACACTGTGTGCCTGATGTGCGAGTCTTGACTGTGCCAGCGCCTACCGCGCCTTGAAGAGCATTCAGCATTGTTTGTCCTATCTTCCGTAGTTGGTCTTAAGACCCGTGTTTCCATATCAAAATTTTTAAATACTTTGGGATTCATCTAATCAGACTGGCATGGTTTCGAATCAGGCGTTTCTTTCGTTTCTCCCATATTTTCCTGCCACCCTTTCGCATTCATCGTTTACATTCACATTTTATGTTTGTGACCATGCTCTTCAAAAATAAATGATAACAGGGTGATCAGTCTGCAAGAAGCGATCGATCTGTGTGCTATGATCTGGGTCATACCGCTTGATTATCAGTTGGGTCATTTTTTCATTGCCACGTCGTAGTAACGGTATTTTTCTACACAGGAGCCCCAACCAGTCTTTCACCATCCCTGGTGAATGTCACAACTGATAGGGTAGTTCGAGATCCCTCCGAATTCTCAAGTACTTTTAACTGTTTGCCTTCCATTACGGCCACACAGGACTTGGTCATACCCAAATAACTCCCAACAACATGCCCCTTGGGGCCCGAGGACATGCACGCTAGTGGTTGTCGCAAGCGCGACATTAGTATTTATGGTTGCCTTACCTCGCCACTTGCTGCTAATTGTTAACCTTCCCCCCACATAGTAACGTCAGTCTCCGCAGAACCAGGAATGTGACATCACCTTTCGACGACGAGTTTATCTACATCACTTTTGTCTGACTGGTGTTCCTTTCGGCTTGTTGAGATAAGGGATAAAATTGAACAGATCTGTTGCACAGGAAAAAAAGAATTTTCAAGATGGGATGAGGTGATATAAATTCTTAAAAGTTTGTGACCACTCACCAATGAACACCAGTAAGTCCTCAAATTTTACATGCAAACGTACACATTCACAATCAGGATTCGATCCTCTCGGTCGTTTTTATGGGGTCTACTCAAATGGCACCTCACAATTTAATCGACGTTAGCACGTTTTTCCTACTGAAAATGGCTATCATAAAGCAACGAACAATAATCTTTTGAAAAGAACTGATGCAATCTTATCATTCGTGTATATTCCTACTAAAACTTTCTAAAGCAACGGAAGACAATCTTCTCGACTGGAGTGTTATTTTGCATCAAGGCCATCTAAAGAGTGAACACAAGCATTTTTGTGCCACCGCTTTACCAAACAATAGAATCTCTACGATATTTTGTACCATCTTTCTTGTTTCCTTATAAATCAGCTTTAGCTCAAGGAAGAGGAAAAGATAGTTGGTTATGGGTAATACGCTTTTGTGCAGGGCAAAATTTCGAGTCGTACAATTCAGGTTTCCTGAGTTACTCAGGACCTATTTTGTTTGGCCATCCAGTATACATGTAACGCGCACTCACACAGGCTACCTTTTTGAAGAGAATAACAGAACACTATACTTTCCTTGTCAGCCTCGACTAATGCGGTAACATCAGAACCCATCTCATACACTAATCAGGCGTCATGACAAAAAAGCACACGTTGATAACATGGATATCACCACACTTTTTTCTGTCGTTTTCAGAGGAACTAGCTGAGGCGACCCTCTCAGTTGGAGCCCAGAAGATTCAGGCATCAGAAGCCAAGATTATACTTCTTGAAGAGAAGCTAACGAAAGCAGCCGAGGATATGCGGATGAATAACCTCTCACACGAGACCTCGCGCCGTCAACTTGAACTTCGAGTACACTCGCTTTTCAGCGACACTGTCGTGAGTCAAATTTATGGTAGACTGTCATCGTGAACTCATTAGCACCTGACAATAGCTAAAGAACCGCACTGGATCGTACATATGTCCTGAGTGTAGCTGAGACTCGAAAAGTGGTTAGACAAATTCCAGCACTGTTAGGCGGAATTCCACACGGATCCCTCTTATCACTCGCACTCAGGCCGAATGCCGGTTGCCAATGGCGCGTCCAGAACACGTCAGAATTTCCAGAAAGTTATAACCACCCACACTATATATAGGAAGCACTGTGCAACTGTTCCTGACTTCGTTTTGACCGAGAACTAAGCTGAGAAGAATACCGTTGCTACAAGTATACACGTGTTTTGCAAGGGTTTTCTGTTTCATCCTTGGTGAATCCATATGAAAGCAAACCAGTGATAGAAGGGTTTCAGGGCTAAGACTTAAAAAAAATGATTAATTTGATGTTTTTTGTCCACTTCCCACAGCTGTTTGTCAGTTGATCTATGGGTTTCCAAGTGATTTTGATAAGGAGGTTTATCGCATCGCAGCCCTACATGTAATTGGTTGTGATGTCGACTTTTTGGTTCACCAACCGATGATAATCTCTTATCGAGGAATCTGCTCAATCCGCCAGTGACTTGTGTTTGCTTGCCATTGTGGGCTCTCTGCGTACTTATGACACTTCTATGCGTGGCACATGCGTTGAATGTATATTTCTGCCATTTAATCTCACACCAGACCCAGTATGACGGACACTGTGTGCCTGATGTGCGAGTCTTGACTGTGCCAGGGCCTACGGCGCCTTGAAGAGCATTCAGCATTGTTTGTCCTATCTTCCGTAGTTGGTCTTAAGACCCGTGTTTCCATATCAAAATTTTTAAATACTTTGGGATTCATCTAATCAGACTGGCATGGTTTCGAATCAGGCGTTTCTTTCGTTTCTCCCATATTTTCCTGCCACCCTTTCGCATTCATCGTTTACATTCACATTTTATGTTTGTGACCATGCTCTTCAAAAATAAATGATAACAGGGTGATCAGTCTGCAAGAAGCGATCGATCTGTGTGCTATGATCTGGGTCATACCGCTTGATTATCAGTTGGGTCATTTTTTCATTGCCACGTCGTAGTAACGGTATTTTTCTACACAGGAGCCCCAACCAGTCTTTCACCATCCCTGGTGAATGTCACAACTGATAGGGTAGTTCGAGATCCCTCCGAATTCTCAAGTACTTTTAACTGTTTGCCTTCCATTACGGCCACACAGGACTTGGTCATACCCAAATAACTCCCAACAACATGCCCCTTGGGGCCCGAGGACATGCACGCTAGTGGTTGTCGCAAGCGCGACATTAGTATTTATGGTTGCCTTACCTCGCCACTTGGCAAAAGTAGTGTCTGTCAAAATATTCTTTGCAAGTTATTTCAACCTGGCCGACCAACGATTTGGATAGCTCGGCTTTAAAAATAGAATTTCTTTGCAGCAAGATTCTGCAGCATTCTGAAATATTCACCTAACATTATGCCACAAAATCCAAAATTTTAATTTCGGCAATTCTGTGGTAAAATTGGGTATCTAGTCAAGGCAAAACGTTATCTCTAAAAGCATCACGGGTAACAACATGATTGCTGGCATTTTTACGGCTCAGCCAAAAAAAACAAATATCCGCTTCCAGAGGCAGTATGCTGTGCGATGCACTTAGTACTTTCTAGGGATCTGTCAGAATTACTCGGTGGTTAACTTAAATCGCATTATCTACAACACTAAGTATTTGGTCAACGGTTTCACGACTCTGCGTTCGCTTATGTGTGGCTTGAAGCAAGTCTCTATAGTGACAGCGCTGCTGAAATAAAGTTCGTGATGTCAATAAAAAATAAAAGAGAAACCTTTTAAGAACCGACCCAATACTTTTTGATAGGAATAGTGTTACATTTTAAACCTTAAGTAATATCGAGTATTCATGTCATGAATAGGCTTCCAGTAGCTAACTTCAACATCTATCTCATTAATAAACAAGAGCTTTCGTTTCTTAACATCTAGAGTCACTGGAACGAACGAAAAACAGCATTACAAACTTTGGTTTACGAGCTACGTTTGTTGCACCAGTCACTATCAAACTTACGGAGGAATTCTTGCGGTCGGTTACACATGGCAATCGGACCCGCAGGTCGATTGGTTGTGCCCGAAATCGGGGATAGTTCGAAGCGACTAGTTCAAGAAGAAATGGAAAAAAAGTTGCAGTCTATGCAAAATGTATCTTATGAAAATTGTTCAGTGACTATGTCTAACAGCTACTATTTTTGACGTTTTGTTCAATGGCGTTTTCAGCATTGGTCAACGATCTTTCTGCTCATGCGGGCCTTGGAAATGCTGTTTATTGTCTGGTTGTGATTGTTGTCAGATTTTATGCACTAATTTGGCATTGGTTGCTTCTTAAATTAACAAAAAAAAACAGAAGAATTCACTACATATAGCAAATAAATTTCACTCCAAGTTTGTCTCCTTGCCACTTTTTCAGGATTTAGAGATGGCGGCATCCAGAAGAAAAGAATTAGAACTTGAACTAGCCCAGTATAAGAAGACACTAGAAACTTATACGAAGGTGAAGAATGCAAAAATTGCAAAGTTAAAAGAAAAGGTCAAGTTATCTTTCTTCAGTTTATCTGTTTATTGTGGTCAGTTGTTAATTACGTTCATAGAAGTTAACTTCTAGGAACATGAAATCATAAGTGCAATATTTCATCCACTGGTTGCTTCATGCCGATTACCATTCGTAGATAATACTAGTGCTTTAGCCAACCTGATTTCTAGAGTGAATGCATTCTTGACTAACTAGTTTCTTGTCTTCTTCCATTCCATCGGAACATGTTACCAAAAATCCTCAAGATTAGAGGTTTGCACTGCGACCATCTTTAACCTGACGGTCTTTCTAATATGACTCAAAGTGGACCATTGTAACAAGCAGTAGCTATGATGTG